CACTTCGACATGTAATCCTTCTATCGGGAAAACGCCTTTGGTATTCTTCAACAGCAGCACGTGCATTGCCACCGCAAAATCCACACACAAAATGCATATCACAATATTCCACGTTTGAAAACACAAAAGGCATTTCAGCAACTTCGCACAATTAACCTACCACCCATTCAAAACGCGGCTGCAACGTATACTGAAGGGAACTTACAGCTAGTGTGAATCACCACACTCAAGGACAAACATAGATAAGACATGCCAGCTGACAGGTACAGTGCGTGGACTCGCCANTCAGGAACACCCTCCCGAAGTTTGGCACATTTCTCCTGAGACACCCTGTATATTAAACTGATTTTACCCTATTTAGCCACTGTAACTAAACAAATGATAACCAGAAAGTCTCTTACCTGAAATCTATTCCATCTATATGTTCATGGTAGTCCAAGAAAGGCTTAACACCATCCAGTACTCCTTCTGGTGTTTTGTCAACCTCATCAAAAAGAAATAATGACCTCCCACATTGACTCACATTTCCCCTGATCCAGTCACCTAGATGTATCTGAAAAGTAAATACTTCATTGGGTATAGAAGTTTTCCAACACAAGAAGAACAGTTTGAAGCATGCAGTCAATTGGGGTTGGGGGAGGATACTGTGATTTGTGGTGTAATTGTTGCCCAGAAAACAGGAGAGTAAGGAGTTAGGCTGGTCTCCATCCATTTCATGGTACTTACTATAAAACTTCACAAGACATTAGAAATAGAAGAATTTTTTTTTTATTACTTGAAGCCAGTGTTTCCATTTCAAAAATTATCATTTTAATTTCCTTCCTAAATCTAAGAAAATTGCTAGTGGCATTCTCATAGGCACCTGCAAGCCACTGAAGCATATATTTAGTATTGTTAAGTGTATAAATGTTGATGAGAAGACAGAAATTATCAAACTGACTATCTGCAAAAATGATAATTACGTTAAAGTATTTGGAATATACATCCCCCCCCCCAAAAAAAATCCTGCTCTTAGTTTCTTAGATGTTTAAAGACGAACCCTTGTTGCTGGAGGCTTCAATGCTTATTTCCATAATTAAGATACAAGAATGTTAATGAAGCAGGGAAAACAATGGATAAGATTTTATTTCACCAAATAATATTGAATTACATTACAAAAAGGAAGATACTCCTACACATCTCCATTATAATGGATTCACCACAAATCCAGATTTGTTTATTATGAATATGTAGTGTTGATGGTTGTATAATAGTACTATATCGAAAACATAAGCCTGTCTTGGTCATATCTATTGACAAGATTAAAAAATGACAGAGAAACAACAAGGAAAAAAGCAGAATTGTCAAACAACCCAACAAATGTGCAAACATGCAGAGAAAAAGCACCATTTCTTAAAAGAGAAATTGTTGCATCTAAGAATTAGACATTTCACAACTTTCTGAAAATCTGAATTCTAGAAAAGACAGTTCAAAAGTTCAGCTCACCACTGAAAAACAAATGTGATGTAAATAATAGAGAACCCATAAATCTTAAGAATTCACCTGAATATAAAGGCAACAAACAGCAAAGACTTCTACACATCTGCCAGTCATATTCTTAGATGTCTGAAGAAACATGATAAACATATGAAACACACTATAAAATAGAAATGTAGGAAAACAAATCAAGAGAACATCATTAATTCTAACTTTGAGCTTCATGAATTGACCCAAGCCAGATTCTGTGAAAACTAAGAAGAGCAAGGACAAGCATGGAGTGTGTCCTAGTGAATTGTAAAGATTGGAGGAAATTATGAAATAGACCTCCTTCAAGTATAAAAGAGAGAGAGAGAGAGACAAATTTATCAGTAATGAATTTGGCATCTTTGGAAACAATCCATATGCTATAAACTTAATGAGACTGGTTATGTATTTATACAGACAGCTCTCTCACAGACAAAAATCGAAATGCTGGAGAAAGAATTTACTGAAAATTGTTTAGTTTTTAGTTGGCTCTTGGAGAACACATCACCCACTTTCATGGTGGAGGAGGAGGAGGAGGAGGAGGAGGAGGAGGAGGAGAAGGAGAAGAAGAAGTGAACGCTACATTAATGCAACACTTTGATATAATATGGGTTCTTTGAAAAGGCTGTTATATTCAGTGATTCAATTTCTTATTTGCTCCACACACCAAGTATTTTCTCAAAGTTGTGCAAGTTTCTAAATAAGTTAGACCTGTCTGACAGGTTTTCATTACAACTAGTATTTGTACACGGCTTACTGTAAAGAAAGGAGTGTAAATATTTACCTTGTATATGTCAGTTTTACTCTTTAAGGGAAAATGAGTTCTTCCATTAAAGTAGTGCACATATTGGCTCTGAAGTCCAGATTTATACAAACTCTTTATAATAAACTGGCTGACAAAAGTCTTTCCACCTCCAGGTAAACCGTTGAAACTAAGAACCAAAGCCTTTCCAGGCGGAGGATCCTTGAAATGGGCTTTTATAGCCTGGGTAACAACATCACGTGCAATATGCTGACCAAATAGATGCTCTTTTAAAGATGATTCCAACACTGCAACACAGAGGAATAATGCATTTTTATCAGATCACCTGTATGGGAAATGAAAGAAACAGAATTGAATATAAAAAGTTGAATTTTTCAATTTGAGTTTACAGTGTTCATGTTCCCTTATCTCATGAAGGAGCAATACAACTTCTGAATTAACGAACAATTACCCTTACTGGTTATGGTTTTAACCTAGTGACACAAATTATTGCCTCATAGTTGACCAGACTACTTTGCTGCATTATTTTCAATTCAAACTTGGAGGTAAAATTAACATCGAAGAAAGCGGTCTTCTGGGATTTGGCACCGTGTATATGTGGTGTTAACCGACGTTTCGGAGGAACGTATCGCCTCCATCTTCAGGGTAGAAGGAAAAATATAAGAAATCCGCAAGCGAAGAGACTGTGAGAATCGGTAAAAACAGACTGGTGTTGGAAATATACACAGCTGTGTGAGAGCAGTGAAGGAAGGGGGGAAGGGCAAGTCTACAAGTGAAATCAGTGGGGTCGGAAGGAGCTGTGACAAGCAGGGTTTTGTGTTGGGGGAGAGAAAGGCAAGGTTAAAGGCTGGGCACTAACCCTTAAGCTGGGGNATTTCCAACACCAGTCTGCTTGTACCGGTTCTCACGGTCTCTTCGCTTGCGGATTTCTTATATTTTTCCTTCTACCCTGAAGATGGAGACGATACGTTCCTCCGAAACGTCGGTTAACACCACATACACACGGTGCCAAATCCCAAAAGACTGCTTTCTTCATAGTCACCGCCATGAAAACCTCAAATCTTACAAACTTAACATTATTTAGATCTTGATTCAAATCTCCCTTATAAGATTCTCCTGACATCATTTATATTTCAAATGTTGTGTCAAAAACAGGCATAATCCCTGACAAATTCACAGGACATAAAAGCAACATAATTATATTTAGATCAGTCTTCTTCTCCATTTATGAAGTGCCAGATGACAATCTGCCGGTCACGGTAGCTGAGCGGCCTAAGGCATGTACTGTCTTCGCTTGCTTGGAAGCCAGAATTGTGGGTTCGAATCCCACTCAGGGCATGGATGTTTGGGGTGGGTGGGTGGCTTGGTGCGTGCGTGCATGCACGCACCCGCATTTTCCTGTGTTTAGGTAGAGGCCTTGCGACGAGCTGATCCCCTGTCCAAGGAGTCCTACCATCTATAAAAATGATCACGAAACTGAGAAATCAGGCCTATGCTTCAGAGTGGTACCAAGAAGGTTGGCGGGGTAGATGACAATCTCTTTGGGGAGTTTGAAATGTATAAATTTAAGATTTTCTCTATGAACTGCAGTGTGGCTCCAGCCTCAAATATTTGAGATCAGTGACTGAAGTGAGCCTACAAGAGAATGCAATTATGGGGAAAAGTATTTTTGGGTATGGAACACATTGCCAGAAAGAAGAAAGTAAGCATACATAATTTCACTTGGTTGCATGTGGAAGGAAATAGATTCACAAATCCAGAATCCTTTTGAATCAAAAATGGCAGAACATATTGTAACATGTTGCGCAACGGAGAACCCCTCCCTACCCAGCAGCAACGTGGCAACTCAGGCCACAGGCGCGTGGCGGTAACGTAGCGCTCCCTCCCACCCCTCCGCGGTGACGTAACGCGCAACGCTACGTACCCGTAATCAACTTCCTACTGTGATGTGGAACACAACAGGCACCACTGCGGCTATATAAGGGAACTGCACAGCAGCTACCAGTTGGTTGTACTGTGACAGCCACCAAGTTATAAGGTAACAGTCGCCGAGCCGAGTGGACATATAGCAACAGTCGCCGAGTCGAGTTATAACGTGGCCATCGCCGAAGATAGTTCTGAGCAAGCCTACGAGTTAGTGTGTTATCAACAGTTCTCCAGTCAGCCAACTACAGTTGGAGTATAGCAGCCGTCGCGGAAAGAAGAACCGGACGTGTGTGTGATTGTGTAATTGGGAGCGTGTGATACAGTGATCCATAGCTCCCCTACTGTCAACGTGTATACTACTGAAGACAGAGTGAACTGATTTGCGCATAGGGTTATAAATCGTGAAACCCCGCAACAGTGTTAACAGATTAATGCGATTAGGGTTATAAAGTGTGAAACCCCGCAACTGTGTGATAAGTAATTGTAGCCGTTACTTGTAGATTGTTAAATAAACCAATTAACCATCTCTACGGCGTCTTCAGTAACGAAAAGACGTTACACTATGATGGCTTGAGGACAGCAAAAGTGAACATGAACTGCAAACATTATCCAAATCCTACACGGAAGATCTATCATAGTGGCACTACATGTTTCTAAACAATGACCAGGTATGAGACTTGAGGTTTTCAATGGTAAAAGTTTAAATTGTAGTCTTCTGGGTTGTCAATCTTCGTAGCTAGATGACACCAGTATCCTCACCAAAAATATCCAGTTGCTTGGAGTGCACTACCAGGGACATGAGAGAAATCGAACTCCACCCTAAGAACATAAATATGGAAGGCTGTTTCTCTTTGAGCAGGTTATGGAAATTCATATGTTACATTTGGGATCTTCATAATAGTAGCTGTGTAGCTATCTGATAGAATATAATGCACATCCAGTTAAGAAATCCTCACCAGACAGCCATGGCAGAGCAGAGCATCAACTATGGATGCCACACAGCTCCATAACACCAGCATCCTCTCCACCAAATGAAGATACATGGAGGTAACTTGACATTTGATTGTATGAACAGGAAGGATGGCTTCTGCCTAAGCACCTCATGGAAACCTCTCATCTGCTCTCTTAGTCTGTAAGGCTTCCAAATAGACTCTCTGGATTGGTTCACCATGGGGCCACTTACACCTGAGCACATTGCGCTCATCAGTTCACTGACTCTGTCCCCTCTATGGAAATGAAAGTTTACTAATTTAATTAGAAAAGAAATACCTATAATTATGATTTGATTGCATAAAAATGCCTACAACTGTACTTGCACCTCACTTTTATGGCCATGGCTACTGTACACACTGGTAAGAGTATGAAATAAATTTCATATGTAATATCTTTGGGTGTTGTCTACTAGGTATGCAGTAGGAAACAGAAGAAATGGGATAGTTATATTTTTACACACATAAAGTAACAGTACATTTTATTAATCAAATTCTTAAACTCAATATCAACATTTTCATGCATGAATTTAAAATTTTCCATATGTTACATCCAGCAAAAGAAGTCTTACTTGTCAAATTATGTGGTATCTCATAACAGCACTCCCCCAAAATGCAGAACATTTTATTCCAGTTTGCAGAGAACATTGATCCTGCTCCAACACCGATTCCTGTTACACTCAGAGGATCAAAACTTGCTATGGTACCTGTCCATAGGAGGGTGATGAATAAATGTATTATTTTCCAATCACAAATCATTCTCTGAAAGAAAGAAAGAAATGTCATTTTGCAGTGATTTGTCATATGTTGTTACAAAATAACAGGGAAAGCTATAAAGTCATTACATATTCAGTATTCAGTATTGAGGGGGTGTGTTTCCCCATGCACTTACACTAGTTATTGGTCCATTGTGCGTCCCCCTTTAATTTCCACTGTCTCCATACCCTACCGGTACTGGTGCTTGCTATCAGCCCCTTTCTGCCAGCGAGGTTCCGATCCTCTACTGGCACTGGTATCTAATAGTTAGTCCCTTTCTGTCAGAGAGGTTGCCCCTCCTCTGGCAGTGGTACCTAATACTTCCCCATCTACTGGAGGCATTGGAAACTACTTTGGCCAAATTTAGCTCAGAGGTCTCCTAGAGACATGAGGTTCTTTTATGTGCCGTAAATCTATGACACGGGACCCACGGCTTAAAGTCCCTCCCGGAGGACTTGTTCCCTGAATTTTTCTGCCCTTAAAAATTCGACGACCTCCGCCGGGTATTTGAACCCGCGTACTACGAGTCATGAGGTGGGAATGTTACCTCTAGACTATGGAGGCTGCTTCACGCGACTATTAGTACCAACAATGTCCTACAGCACCAGTGTCCCCATAAAGGACAAAAAGTACAAAAACACATTACATATATACACACCATTCAGACACGGCCTCAGCGGCCGACGCACTGATCCCTAGTGTAAAGACCATCAGCGACACACCGGTCGACAACCTCCTCACAGAGTTCCCAGACCTGGCCCGCCCAGCCGGAGTCCAGCGCGAGGTATGACACAATACTGTCCACCACATCAGGACTGTACCTAGCCCACCAGTAACCTGCCGACCTAGGTGACTGGCACAGGACTGGCTTGCTATCCTAAAAGCCAAGTTCGACGCCATGTTGTGGGATGGTACAGCTCGCCGTTCAGAGAGTTCCTGATCCTCGGCACTACACATCGTGCCCAAGAAAGACAACGTTTGGCGTCCATGCGGCGATTACAGAGCGCTGAACTCCCGAACAATCCCTGACTGTTACCCTGTCCGCCATATCCATGACTACTCCCACCAGCTTTTCCAAAACTGACCTGGTGAGAGCCTACAATCAAATCCCTGTCCACCCTGAAGACATACAGAAGACTACCATCACCACTCCAGTCGGCCTCTTCAAATTCCCATTCATGTCATTCGGCCTGCACAACGCTGCCCAGACCTTCCAGCGTTTCATGGACGACATTCTACGGGGATTTGACTTCTGCTTCGTATACTTAGATGACATCCTTGTCTTCTCCCGGTCACTCAAAGAGCACGAACACCTACATGCTCTCTTCAACCAACTACAGAGGTAAGGGATCATTATCAAGCCGTCAAAGTGCGTCTTCAGAGCACCCAAGGGTTCCGAACCACTGGAAGACCGAGTGGCCCATCTCCAGGACTGTCCCCCTCCGAAGACCACCAGTCAGCTCCGACGATTCCTAGGCATGCTGAACATGCCTTCCCAAGCAAAATAACTAATTGCAGTTCCTCTAACTCCTATCCAGCTACAGTACAAGCCAAATGTTAAATTCTCTGATACATGTACCGTACCACGAGGAAAGGCAATAAGTGTCTTCTACAGAACTGAGGGTACCATCTAATATAAGGAAATACTGGAGACAGCTCCTGGCATTGTTAGACCTGCTATAAATCACAATTTACAGACACAGTGCCTGGAATAGTAAAATCTGATACTGCCAAGAGAGGCAGAAGGGGATATTCTGTTCACAATAAGGTGGATATACAAGTGAGTACACTTCACAAGTGATACTCTGAAGATTTCCTTGACAGATAGAGGGTTACCAGACCCAAGATAAACACACTACTTTCAGCAGCACTGCAGTTACATGGGATGAGGAAGTAAAGCCATCATAATTGAAGTTGGCAGGTTAGTTCTTTATAAAACAATATTAATAATGGTGGTATTAACTATTAATAAGCATGGATAGATTATTTGTGTGGCAGTGAGAATGCATCTGAAGTACATGATCTCTGGATGCTGCCTGTTTAGTAAGTGTATTTTGCTACAAGTATTATGTTTTTGGACAATATCCATTGTCTTCTCTATTTTTAAAAAACCGTCCTGTTTCTTTTTCAAAACACAACGTTTCGGAGACTGGATTCTGTCCCCGTCCTCAGGTAAAACCTACTCAGTTGGGTCCTATAGAGCTAGCCCCTATCTCTGGAGATATAATATCTATTGGACCCAACTGAGTAGGTTTTACCTGAGGACGGGGACAGAATCCAGTCTCTGTAACGTTGTGTTTTGGAAAATAAACAGGACAATTTTTTAAAAAAATAGACAAGATGACGAATAATGTCCAAAAACATAATACTTGCAGCAATATACCACCGGCACAAACTTTTAGATCTTAAGTGTATTTTGTTTTTCAAATTGGAACTGTATGCAAGCTGGAAGTTTGGTGAAACAGAACATCACATTGCACATGTTGTCTCTTGTAGCCAGAACTCTTTGTTCTGAACATCCAGAAGCCTCCACTCATAGTCTGGGGGTAAAAAGCACACTGGTTCTAAGCATCTGACTTTTAAGTGTGGTTAGTCCAAAAATATGGCAAGGGATACCTTTCTACACCTCTATCATAGAGTTTGTATCCCTGCAACTCACATAATCAAGTTTTACATAAAAATGATACTGGGTAAGCTATGCTTAGAAGATAACTGAGATATGGCTAATACAAATGATATGACTACTATTGATTTAGGTGATAGAAAAGCTGTCAGCAAATTCAATCAAGCATGAGAATGGTTGCCGGTCACTGTAGCCGAGCGGTCTAAGGCATGCACTGTCCTCGCTCTCTCGGAAACCGAGATCGTGGGTTCGAATCCCACTCAGGGCATGGATGTTTGCGTGCGTTTTTCTGTGTTTGTCTACAGGTAAAGGCCTTGCGACGAGCTGATCACTCACCCAAGGAGTCCTATCGTATGTGTAAGATCTAGTAAACCGAAGTGAAACGGAGAGTTTCATGGAGGTAGGCCTAGGCCCAAATTGGGGCTGTAGCGCCACAGGAAAAAAAAATGAGAATGGTTAGCATAGATTACTAAGTAATAACGTTGGTCTGTCTGGTGTTGTAGCAACAAGTATATATTATATGCTATGTCAGCAGTGAAAAACTGCCTTACAGCCATGCGGCTGAATATTATCTGGTACAATCTTACTCAGTAATAGTAACGTACGGAATAAAATCAATTCAGTTCTAAAAGAATTCATATATAATGTCCATAAACAAAGATGGTACACTTACAAATCATTATTTTTTTGTACAATCACATTTTTCATTGTAACACATGTAAACCTGTCAACATGATGGTTAGTTAAATCATATTTTTGGAAGAAAACCAATTAACACTTTGGTGACAATACGATTATTTACGAATAATGCGTGTGAAAATGCCAGCACCGGTACGCTTCCGGATCCGTTCGGGTTTTCAGTAACGTGTACTTATTACAAATAATTTTCATTATATATTACCTCGTAACTGCCACATAACCTTTCCTATACACGTTTCCACCCACTCTAATCGATATCCAAAGAACGTCGTATTCCATCTGCATTGGCAAGAAAGCACTGAGCGCAAGCAATCCTAGGCTCTCAGGTGCTCAGGTGCGTGTTATTGTACAACAGCTGATTTGCGTGTGACCTTGGAGAATTGGCGTCTTCTAGGAAGTATGTGGTGTATGTATTTTTGGTGAGAGGAATATATAAAAAGAGCATATCGCAGCAGTAGAGGACATCATAATGCGTCTAGTGTGTTTCTAAAAATAATCGTTCGAACTCACGAGCTATTGTGCAGTCGTAATGGTGCAGTGTTACAGAGAATGCAAAGAGGGTATGATATTTTTTGTTCTTAAGACGTTAAGTTGTTCTTAACACACATTTGATATATCAAGACAATGAAAACAAAGTTTAAACAAGTGTTGCCAGTGCGGAAAGGATCAGTTCTTTTAACTGAACGACCATTTGTTTATATACTGAAATCTAAACTGAGAGGAGACCGGTGTGACAATTGCTTCAGAAGGTGAGTTGATTGCTTTCAGTTGAATAAAATTTTCTAGACTCTTCAATTGTAAGTTAATCCTATGATATACTTATTATTAAAGCAAAATCAGGCCTGAGACTTAGTAGTGATAAAATCCCACCTATAGTCTGTTTCCAGAAATTATTTTATTTATTTGTTGTTTACATTTCTCGTTCTTGAAAAACACGATTCAGATCAGGACGAAGTAACAGAACGGGGAGAATGCTGCACAGTGAGAAGCCACGTATTATTCCAAAGTTAACCACATAAATCTGTTCTCAACCACCCATAATATGTGTGAATACATATAAAAGACCAATTTTCACACCCATACTAACATAAGATAATAGTTTTGTGTATTTTAATTTTGCGTTTTGTAGATAGGAGACAAGAAAACAAAATATTCTGAAGTGAATGGTACCATGTTTTAGTCTTTAATGTGCTGCTTACAAGATTGATATTAGCGATTAGTTCTTTGTGCAGTTTAAAGAATGCTTTTCTTAACCATAAAATGATGCCCATAGGTATTTGATTTGGACCAGTCTCATAAATTTCACATAGAGAATTCTTGCCTGCCTCGATGGTCACCCAGCATTTGTGCCAGTTAAAAGAATCTGCAACCTTAGGAAAGTTAGTCAGAAAACTCAGTTTACTCATTTATTCCTGGTAGTTATTATCCATGAGACAGCTAATAACTAATAGGATTAAATAAATGATGTGCTACAGAATGCTATGATACAATATTCATTTTATTCATCTGTAAGCTCTTAACATATCCTGTATGGATTTCTTTGGTAACAGATCACATCTGATCAATACAGGTGATTGTTAGGAAAGATATTGATTCCAGTCAAAATTCAAACTTTTATGCTGTAATCAGTATTATAACTACAGTCTCTTTGGTACCATTGGGGGCACGCGGTAGCGTAGTTGGTTGAGGTACTATGATACAAGCCGTAAGGTTGCGGGATAGAATCCCGATGGGGTGGATTTTTTCAGTTTACCTAATTCTTCCAACCACACTATGGCCCTGGGGTCAACTCAGTATCCAACAAAATGAGTACCAGGAATATTCTTGGGGGTAAAGGGTGGCCAGTGTGTAAGGCTGACAAGCTCAGCACCATCTGTGAGCTGATTGTCTAGAAAATGTGGGAGCCTCAACGTCTCACAACTCTATGGGTCTCCAGGACCTCTTACAGGGATACCTTTACTTTACTATGCTACCATTGTGCTGTGTACTTACACCTGAAATGCCATCTGTAGATTTTCAAATACATTGCACTTAAATGCTGTAATGCCAAATGTCTCATCACAAATCTGTATGCCAGAGTGTGATAACATTCAGACAGGAGTCAAATTAAGGTCAACAGAGCCAGTCATATTGATGGAAGTCATGAAACTGCAGAGGGAAGAAACTGATTTTGAAAGTCACCATGTAAGCATTGCAGAGACCTCCCTGACTTTCTGTTTTCTGCTGTTGAACACGATCATGTGAGTCCTGTATTTAATCTTCTGCTAGTCTTCATGATTAAATAATTTTCATTCTTGGACCAATTGCAGAATACTCTCTCCAGTGTGTCCTTGATCTGCCTCTTCCGTCCAGTAAATTAAGTATTTACTCTTCCAGAAAAAGACTGTTAAAGTGTTCAGGGTGTCAGTATGTTTACTACTGTAATCGAGATTGTCAGAAGGAATCCTGGGCTGACCATAAGCAGGAATGCAGCAACTTACGAAGAGTATCACCGAGGATTGTTCCAGATGCTGCCCGGCTTTTGGCTAGGATTATATTCAAGTTACAGGTACATCTTGTTTCCTAGCAATATGGAACAAAGTCCTTCTCCACTGGTCAAGAAAGTATATGCTGTGTTCAGGAGAGCCCACCATGTGACCCTCTCCTGAGCCATATGAATCCATGTTCATATCTTCTTTCTTTACCTTCTTGCTTTTGCTGTTTGGTGACGCTGTCAGTATCGAGAATATTCAGCATTGGTGGTATGATGATTAATGAATATATGTCGGTTAGTGGAATGAAGTGATTTTCATACCCTATTCCTCTGAGAGCAGCTTAATATTATCCTCCCATCTATTCCTAGGTCTCCCAAGTGATCCATTGACTTCATGTTTACTGACTAAAATTGTGTCTTATTGCCCATTTCTCCTGCGTTTTCAATGTGCCTCATCTATTTCATGTATAGTAAAGGTATGACTTGGGAGACCTAAAGATAGATCTCAAGATAATATTAAAATGGATGAGAGCTGGTGTAGCTCAGTCAGTATAGTGACTGTGCTATGGCCTGGATGACCAGAGAATCAAAGTTTGATTCTTGGCAGGTGCAGGGGATTTCTTTCTTCCCCACCTGTCCTGACAGCCTCTGAGGCCCACCTGGCTTCCTGTTCGTTGGGTACTGGAGTCATCTACAGGGGTAAAGTGGCCAGGGTATGGCGTTTACTGCTCACCTCTCTCTAATGCCAAGGTTAAGAATGCATAGAGCCAAACTTCTGCTCCCCACACATATTCATGGCATGATGCTTGATCATGGAGCGATCATGGCTCAGTTGGTGTAGTGACAGACTAGGGACTGAACTGCCAGGGTTCGATTTTCAGCAAGAGCAAGAATATTTTCTGTACTCCACAGTGTTGAGAGTCCACCCAGCGGGTGTCAGAGGCTCTTTCCTGGGGTGTTATGTAGCAGAGTGTGAAGCACAAAGATAACTTTATCACTTACCTTTCATCCATGAAGAAGTAAGGTGGTAGGATGTGGACTAGATTTCTTTGTCTCAGGATAGGGATTGGCGGTAGGTTTTTGTGAACACAGTAATGGACCTTTGGGTTTCATAAAAGATTTGGAAATTTTTGAGTATCTGAGGTACTCCCACTTCTCAAGAAAGACTGTTCCATTCAGTTGGTTTAGTGCAATATAGTTTTATCAGTTATTAATATAAGACTTGTAATTGTAATTGTTTATGTAGAAGTAAAGTTAAGAGGACACTGTATGTCAGCAAAAACATTAGTAATGCAAAGTTCTCACTACATTTATTCTGATGTGACTGGATAGAACCCCCCCAAAAAGTATATTTGAAGTTAATTAAATCTTCAACTTTTGGTATATAAGTTTTAAGAAGTGAATTGCATCACTTCTCCTGTTTTTGTTGACTGGGTTCTTCACGCTGCCAGTGGTGAAAGCAATAACTCAAGTTGTGTCCATGTCATTATGTGATAAATTCTTTTTGCATAGGAAAGTTGTCTGTGTAAAAGTGACCACATGCAAGTTACCTAATGTAGATAAGTCAGAAATTTTGTTAGTACTTTCTTTTTCACTAAAATATTTTGAAATGTCAGTATTTGGAGTGCAGTAGAAGTGAAATGAGGTACTTCAAGGATAAATTAAAATCAGAATGAGTGGAAGTGATTGGAATGAAGGCTGCAATATTAATTTTACTCTTAACTGTGTTCAGATTGTTTACTCATATATTTTATGTGTTGCATATGACCGGTTGGAGGCATGCAGTAGCATAGCTGGTTGAGGCACTATGCTACAAGCTGGAGGGTCGCGGATTCGATTCCCAATGAGGTCATTGGATTATTCAGTTGACCTAACCCTTCCAGCCACACTATTGCCCTGAGGTTGACTCAGCCTCTAACAGAAATGAGTACTAGGATTCTTCCTGGGGATAGAGGGCAGCTGGCTCATAAGGCTGACAGCCTAACCACTGTCTTGGAGTTGACTGTCAAGAAAATGTGGGAGGTTTGAGGTCTCACCACCCTATGGGCCTCCGAGGCCTGTTAGAGGCATAGGGTGTTACCTAGCGTTAGATTTGTTTATGTGACTGATCAGATTTGATGTATGGAAACAGGGCTCCAGCAATATAACTTAAATGTGCTTAACACTTTTCAGAATTAGTTTGTTGATAGTTTCACATTGTTTTTCACAGAAATGCTTTTATGTCTGCCGCTACCTTTTGTTAAATTGCCTCTGATGAGTGTATTTCTGGAACTCTGATGGAAGTCTGCTATTAAATATGTAGAAGAGTAGAGATTAAGAAATATTTTGGCTAGAAGGAGCACACTGTTCCTAACTATTAGTTCCTTGTATGGAAGTCATTTACAAATTACAAATCTATACTCTGTATCACCTAATACTTGATCAATATAGAGCATTGCTAAGAAATAAACTTTAAAGGAAACACATCTTATCAAGAGAATTGAAAAATGAATGTGGTGATCAAAATAGAAGTCACAGAAGCAGGAAGACTGTGATTAGAAGTGCAGAGAATTAGTTAAGTACATGGACAAATTTACCTTTACTTTATTGTATAGAATCTTAATATAGGGAGATAAAACATAAATGATGTAGTGTAATTTGACTGCATAATTTATGCACTGTCATTTTTCATTGTAAAATGTATGAAAGAAAGAGCATTTGTTTAAATAATGCATGTTTTGGAAATATTTTTATAAATGCTTTTGTATGTTCTACATTTATAGAGAGGAGGTGACTTAGAGAAAGGTTATTATTCAGAAACAGGCTTCAGAAAATTCAAAGATCTCATGTCACGTGAGTAGTTTATTGATGCATATGTATGTTGTTTGTAAATGCAGAAATTATTACATTTGTTTCCATCTCCCTACAATATCTTAGTCCCTAGTCTAGGGTCTTCTTTGACTCATATTCTGCCTCCAAGTTGAAGAACAACTCTCACTGCTGGCTGGCCACAGCTTCATAGCTTGTGTATTTGCAAATCATACTTCCAGTTATGTCATTTTGCAGCAGTTCTCCATATATTGCCATCCATGTTCCATAGCTGGAGATTATTGTGAATTTGTTCAGTTAAATTGTTTGCTTGGTTTGGGAAAGCCAGAAGAGTAATGTGTTGATTTTTAGGGTTAGCAAATGGTAAGCATTCCCCACATTTAATGTGCTCTTAAAATCTATTCACATAAACTTCTAACACTGCCTGATATCACAGTAGCTGCATTTTCCATCTCTTCATTGATTCAGTAGTCTGACGCTGGCAAGTTTGGTTAGATCTTGGAGGATATTAATTCTTAAACAAGCCACTAGGATCTCAGTCACACAAGTAAATGTTGTTTGATGTACCACACTCCTGAGGCTACATAGTTGACCTCAAATAATCCATGTCAATGGAAGCAGGAGTAGCTTCCAGAATTTCATAAGTTGGAATTCTATTCAAACAACATGCAACTTGCAACCCAGCATGTTCTCAATGATATATCCTAATTGTTAGTTTTGATAGATATTTAATTTAGTTTAAGCATTTTTGGCTTCAGTATTTCACATAACAAATAAACAGACTTACTAATTAACTAAGTAGCTAGGCATCTCACTTGCTCACACACTCAGTTACTTCAGGAGCAGATTACTCTATTTAAGTTTGTTATTTAATGACATTGAGACCGTATATATAGTGCTTATGAAGCTAGTAGCCAATCAGCCATTCAAGACATTTCCTGCTTTTTATGGAACCCAGAGTTTTCTTACAGCATTCATAAGAGCCCACCATTGGTACTATTCTGAACCAGATGAATCCAGTCCATACCCTCCCTTCCTACTTCTTCGAAATCCTCTCACCTTTACCTAGGTCTTTCAGGTGGTGTCTGCTCCTCAGGCTTTATGACCAGTAGTTTGTATGCATATCCTGTCTCTCAGATGCACATGCTGTGTCCCACCCAGCTCATCCTTTACGTGATCTTCCTAATAATATTTTGGGAAGATTGTGTGGTATTATCCAGTCTCCTTTCCATCGACTCAATTATGTAAGAGAATTCAGTAGTAGTTTCTTCTTTATTAAAAATGTGAATAATTTTTATTTGACCTGAAGACGGGGACAAAATTTTTCTGTGAAATGTTGGTATTCACTTAGAAAACAATTCAATGTCAACTCAGAAGAACACAGTCTGAAAATTTCCATTTTTTTTTTTCCAGATTACTCAGATTTGAAGCAGGATCAAAAAAGGATGGAGCATTTCACTTCCTTGTATGGAGTTTTAATTGATTTTATTGGGGAGAGTAATTTGCCAAACTCAGCAGAACTGATGGGAATTTATGGTAGGGTAAGTATGGTAGGAATTACATTAGTACAGTCAACTCTCGATTATCCGGGGGCGGATTAACCGGTTTGCGGCTTAACCGGGGCTACTGAGGCTTTTTTGAGGCTTATATGTTGTTTAATATTCATTCACTTTTGTTTCACATGATGAGTTGTAACGCTATTTTC